ACTTATTATAATTGTATATTAAATTTGAAATTTATTGAAAGTGGTTTTATCTTAAAAATAATCTGAACTATTTTGTTTTATTGGTTTAAATAGTTATTATAGCCATTGGAAGACCTTTTATATATTGGGTAGCAATATATCTGCTGTTGCTTAAAACTTTACAATAATGATAGAAAACCAATATCGGGTCATCATGTTCCCTCATTACGTCTTTAAATTATTTAAACCGTTTCGTCTATTGTTTAGTGCTCTATTTCATTCCTCTCTTGTTAGGTTTATCTATATATTTGATACGCAAATAATTAAGCCAGCACTACTGTTTGGATATGTTACATATAGCAAAGCCTTAAATACATATAGCAAAGCCTTAAATACATATAGCAAAGCCTTAAATACTGTCATAAAGCAATTACAGATAGCACAAAACCTGGCTGCTATAAGAAGGCTTTTTAAGATTCCGTGGTATATTAGAACAACAGACATACACAGAGATCTAAGAATCGATTTAGTGAAAAAATATATCAGGGACAGAGCCCTAAAATTATTTATAAAAGTTGATACGCTGCCTAACCCCGCCTTAACAAACCTCAAGTTCATCTCAGGACCCACAGGAAGATATGCTGACCTACAGTCCGTCATCAATTAAAAGATAAATAAACGATATGAATCTCTGCATAGCTAAAGCCTAGTGTGGGGTAGGGATAAGCCCTTCAGACACAAAAGAGTAAAAGTGCACAATAGCACTAACTCAAGAAACCACAAAGACAACAATAAAGTTGCGAGAATAGATGAAATATATCACAATTATATTTTGACTATAAAAAATCTAAAATAGATTATACATAAAAAATGATGCGATACTTTTTTTTTAGTTTAAAATTGATGGAAATTTTCTTATTATCTCTTAACTTTTGGCACTCTTTTGTTGGGAATTTCCCTGTCATTTGTAAAACCCTTGTCATTGTCTTTAGGTATAAATACAAATTGTGAAGTACATAACTATTCAATTCTTATCATTATTTAGCAAATGTATTAAATATTATTAAATATATTTATATATATATATATATATATATATATATATTATTTAATATATTATTAATTTTTTATTTGGAGGGGTTTCGAAAAGTGGGGTGAACGTATAACCACAATGTCTTTCTTTATTATTTAATTAATCGGATTACGTATATAATTTTAAGTACCAACTCGATACATTTACTTCTTGAACTCCAGTATCTAGTTAGTTCTAGATTTCACTGTGCTTACCAGATAGTGCTCTACACCTATTTGTTCATGTATAATCTCGATATGCATGAATATAGTCCTATTTTGTGATTATTTTTTTTGATGAGATAGGTATGCTTGGAAATTTAATATGAAGAGTAGAGTTACCAGTTCATTACAGTTTTAATACTTTATGAAGACTATTGTATTCTCTATTCACATTATTTTTTAGTTCTATAGTGCTCAGTGACCCACTGTTCTAACAACTAATGTGTTTTATTTACAACGGCTTTACCTTACTATTTTGTCGGAGATACCCTCTCTATTTTCTGTAAAAGTAGATATTTCACATTTTTTGTGAATTTTTTGTGTTTTTTATGTTATGTTCACCGGCGAACAAAAGAGATCGACTTAGGTCTATTGATCATTGTCTTATCGTATAAGGGAAAAATTTAGAGGTTTAAAACCACCTTTTGCATAGCTTAAAAGGTTTTAAAATGGGAAAATCTTGCAGTTGCAAAGATTCTCAAAAAAGGAGTCCCCTAGAGTATTAAAACGTACTGGGCGAGAACAAAGCAGATGAGATGCACTATCATCCTTTTTTCTGCGACAGATATAATTGAAAGGGAGATTTTTAGTCTTCTAATCTTCTTTTAATCTTCTTTTCTAATCTGTAATGGCATGTGAGTAAACCTTACACTTTAAATTAGTCTTCAAGAAATCACGACCATATAAAAGCCTGGTCGTATAAACCAGGCTTTTATATGATTATATATAATGTTAGTGTTGTTGTGAGTTGGCTTGACTTCTGGTTTGTTTGAAGAATTCTGCTGGGTTTACTTGATTCCTTTCTTTACGACTAGTTAAATTCTGAAGGTACTTGTACTGGTACTTGGTAGTCGATGATGAGTGGTTGTTGAACGTGTAGCATTACAATGGTTCGTATAAAAAAAACTAAGTCTTTTTGTACTGTCATTATACTCTAAAGAATATATAGTTTTCTTATGTATATAAATAAATATACTCGCCTAAAAAGTAAATAAATTTTTAATATTTCATATTTATTTAAATTACTTGCGGTTTTTAAATGCGTTATAACTGAATAGATTTCTTACTCATCCTAATATAATATATAAATCAAATAAAGTAGTAACAAGCCCTTTTAATGTATTTAAAAATAAATATTCAGGTCTATAGACCCGTCCATAGAAATAGATTGTATATATTTGTTTTTATAAAAATCCAGTCACGATTTTATTAATTTATGTAAACAAAAGCATTAAAACTATGATATATTTGACGATTTTTTTTAATAATTTATTTAAACTAATTTTTTGTGATATATAGAATTATACTATATATAAGTTTATACATATATATATATATATATATTTTTGTTGTTAATGTATTTTTTGCAATTGCGCTAAACATCAACAAATGAAAAATTTGAAGTTATCTTCTCAGAAATTGAAATTGATTAAGTTGCACTGCTCAGTATTCCGGGCTCATTTCTTTCTGTGTAGTCTCCGTCATCTATACCTTTGCATTCTGTATTCCGTAGTTGTCTTGATGGAAAAAATAATAAAATAAAATAGAATAGAATAAAAGTTGTTTGCAATTGTTGTTGATTAAGCACAGTGTGGGCAAAAAGTAATTTCCATAAACTAGAATCTAGAATCCCACAACTTGTTTACGTGGATGAGTTAAAAACGCAAGAGTAGTAACCAATCTGAGATATTCACTAGAAAATTTTACTATGGCGATCGAAATTTTATCTTAGGCGATCCTCTAAGATAGTTTAATCTACAATTCTATCTTTTAAAATTTTATCACATGTTTGATAGTTTCCGAAGATACTAACCAAATCGCTTTAGATACCATATCTAATTCTTTAACTTTCTATTAATTACACTTAATAATGTATATGACTTCATTTAGTTTTTAATAAATGGATTAGCGTCCGGTACTTCTCCACACTTGGATGGGATGGGCAGTATATACTATCACCTTAATATTAGAAATAAAATTTATTGACAATCAGAGAATGTTCGATAAAAACGGAATTCATATGACAATATATAATTTTGGTTTATATACATTTTATTGATATAGAAAAATGGGTCTCATTGGGTATATAAGTTTCCATTTTACTTGTTTAAAAAGAACTTCAAAATTTTACGATCTTAAAATTGTTATATATGTTACCGAGGTGCCATTTGAAATACGGCGTTTTGTCCTAATCCTCATTTTATTTTTGTAACACAAAGAATCTATCGAATGAAACTTTGGACTGACCCATAGCTCCATTTTTATTATTTTGCTGTACGTATACATATAAAAAGATAGATCGTGAACTGCAATCTATATCCAAACACTCTACTTATCATCCATTTCTTACAAGTACTAGTTGTAAAGTTAAGCTGTTAAGTATGTGCGATTCAAAACTAAGAAAAGCTCAACTGATGTGCAGATTATTAAGCCGGCCGGTGAAATAAAAAATATATTAAATTATTACTACAATTTTTTTTGCACATCCATTTTTTTTTAAATATATGTATGTGGAATATTACAATGTATTTAATTTCGCAGAAAGCAGTGAATTACTGTCGGTCAACACTGAATATTATATTATTAATAATTATATTATTATTACTAATATAGATAACTGTCAACTTCTGTTATACTAAAATAGATAGATAAAATGGGAAAGTCAGAGAAGAAGATAAAGATGAGAGAGATTACAAAAAAATATATATCCGTGACGTATTTTACTATGTGTTACACTGAAAGAGAGATAAATGGACGCTGAAGGTCAGAGAGAAAGGGGAGATAGAGAGAGAGAGGGTAAGAGAAATTATAAATATACATATCAGTCACATTAAAAGAGAGATAGATGGAGAGTGAGAGAGGGAGAGGGTGAGAGAGATTTTAAGTATACATATCAGTCACTTGTTACACTAAAAGAGAGATAGATAAAGATGAAGAGTCAGAGAGAGAGAGAAAGAATGGGAGAGAGAGAGTGGGAGAGAGAGAGTGTGAGAGAAAGAGTAGAAAAGAAAGAGAGTGGGATTGGGAATGGGAGAGATAGAGGGTGTGAGAGATTATAAATATGCATATCAGTCAGTGAAATTTTTTTTTATTGCTTCGAATGAAAAAATATATCACTTGTTACACTTACATATCAGTCACTTGTTACACTAAAAGAGAGATAGATAAAGATAGAGAGAGAGAGAGAGAGAGAGAGAAAGAGTGGAGAGAGAGAGTGGGAGAGAAAGAGGGTGTGAGAGATTATAAATATGCATATCAGTCAGCGAAATTTTTTTCATTGCTTAGAATGAGTTTATATAAAAAAAATAAATAAATACATATATATAAAAAAATTTGTGTAATTTGTTTATATACGTGTGAAATAAAATAATAATATGTGCAATAAAATAATGTTAACCAGATAGAGGTCTTCTATTATATTAAGTACCTATAAAGGCTTCAATCCTAGCTTAGGTATTTTTACAATTTAAAAGTATGATACGTAATTTCTCCCATGTAAGTTTCAAAATTTAACCTTAACTTAGTGTATAATCTCTTTTAGGTAAGTTTTAAAATTTAAATACAAAATTTTAATTTTAAAAATAATAAAAAATATTTTATAAGTGGCAAAAGTCTCTTATCTACAGCAATGACCGTTGCAAAAATAAAAACTGATCTACAAATTTACAAAAAAATAAAACAAAATATGCTAAAAAATTAAAATTTAAAAAAAAAATTAAAAAAAAATTAAAAAAAAAAATAAAAAATAAATAATCAATTGGTGATTCCCGACTTGTAAGGGAGACGTGCATTCACATTGAACGAGAACTTAAACAAGCAGCGAGTATAAAAAGAAACTCGTCAAGACAAGTCAGTCAGTCGCCAACTCGCGCATATTGAGGACAGAGTTCGGTTGTGTCTTTAGTGGATATTCTAGTGGAATTTAGAAGAAGAAAATAAGAAGAAAAATGGGAAACCAGAATCGTCATAGTTTATGGATAGGTGCTTTGCTGGGCTTATGCTTAGTTGCAGTGGCCAGTAGTGAAGATAAAATCTGTAAAAATAAATTCTAGTAATCCTTAACGAGTTCAATAATTAAATTCAGAAAATTATAGATCGTATGTGTGTGCCACAAAAGTATTATCAAGACTGTTTGAATTTGTTACGTGATCCTTCTGAGGCTGGTATTCATATGATCTGTGTAGCAGGACGTGATCGTATTGACTGCTTAGATTTAATTAATCAACGTAAAGCCGATGTATTAGCATCTGAACCAGAGGATATGTATGTTGCATATCATAAGCAGAATCAGGACTTTCGTGTTGTATCTGAGATAAGAACTAAAGATGATAAAGATGGTAATGAAATATTTTCTTGAAACAAAAACCTCGATTAGTTATATGAATTATTTTTTACTATAGCCGATTTTCGTTATGAGGGTATAATTTTAGTTAAGAAAAATTCGAATATTCACAGCTTAAAGGAATTACGTGGTGCTAAATCCTGTCATACCGGCTTCGGACGTAATGTGGGCTTTAGGGTGAGTAAAAATTTGTAGAACTTTAAAAAATTTTAAATTGCTAAAAAGTAAAGAAAATAGAATAAAAAATTGATATATGATATATATGTATAAATATGTATGTATATGTATATATATGTATACATTTATTGTTGAAGTAGTTATTTAATGGTTACAATATTTAGTTATAAAAACTAGTTCTATAAATGAAAAAAAAAATCTAGTAGCTATAAATTTTTGTGAGATTGTTGAGATAAGTTTTCTACAGCAGTGAAATCTTTAAATAATTTATTATTGATTTCAAGAATATGATAAGTAATTGGTAGAAAGAAGAGAATTATTTTTTGCATCTAATATTGTTTCATATAAAATAATATGTAAATATTCTTTAATTATGACTTTTGATAGCTAATATCGTTAAAAAAATTAATTAGTTATTTAATAGAACTACATTACATATGCTATTTTAATAGAAATTAATAATAGTTTTTGAAAAAAAATAAATTTAAAATTAATTAAGTAAAAAATAATGAATAAATAATATATTAACTAATTAATATATATAATTATAAAGGCAAAAAAAATTTTAAATTTTTAAATAAAAAAATAATATGCAAATATAAATAAAACTAAATTTAAAAATAAAATAATATAATACATTTATATATTATTTGAATAAAAGATAAAGATAAGTATAAATAATAATAAGAACTGCAAGGTTAAAAAATTTATTAAAATTAAAAACAAATAAAACTAATATTAAAATAGCAATTTTAGTTATTTATATGTATAATTTTATTGTCAATTAAATTTATATAATTTTTTTTTTATAATTAATTTTGTTTTTCTTATAGATTCCCATAACAAAATTGAAAAACGCAGAAATTCTTAAGGTTTCCATGGATCCCTTGTTGACCGCTACCGAACGTGAATTGAAAGCATTATCTGAATTCTTTTCTCAATCCTGTCTTGTGGGCACATACTCTCCATATCCAGAAACTGATCGTATATTAAGTAAGTACATGCTTTATTAAATATATAGAGTTATTAACAATCTTTCTAAACATATCAAATATACATAAGTCCATAAATAAAGACACAGTGTATAGATAAACAAAAGTGCTAATAGATAATTAGAAGAATAGTTAGCGGAGAGTATAATTTTAAGTGACTAGACTAAAATAATATTTGTAGTTAGTCCTTCCTCCCCTCTCTCTTAAACGACGGAGATTGTGATTTAATTTTGTGGTAATAAAAATAAAAAGTATGTAAAGAGATCCGATAATGGAACTAAACCTAATTCGCAGCAATGCTGGTAGGAAATGCAACGAGCCGGTTCTCTCGAGAACTCGACAAAAATACTTAGGGGCTATCAGTTTCAACGGACTGGATCACATACCTGAAGTTTCTGTTGAAATTCTAATAAAATTTGCTAATAACACGCGCATCATAAGCGATGCAGACTATTGTTAAAAAATTAAGGCTCTGATCTGGTATCGCAATGGACCTTAATGTTCTACCTAACATATTTCGTCTATATTTTGAGAAATATTTCAAAATGCATATTCATGTTTTTGAACATGAAATGACACATGAAGAACACGAGAATATAATATATGTAGGATACTGAGATTCCACAAAAACGAAAAAAGTTTATATAGAATCTGTTTTATCATATAAAATAGTAAGAAGTTCTCTGGACAAACTGTGGATAAACCGTTTTTGAACCAAAATAATGTTTGTGATATCGAACCCCTTGACGAAACTGAGTTAAAAATTTAAGAACCACAGTGTTTCATCTATAAAAAATTAGATATTCATTGCGATACACATCAGCTTTTGGGCAAGAAATATATTGATGACCTATTTTAAACTCTCTCTCTCTCTTTGAAAATACATTGCTTATATCACGAATTCTAAATATTATTAATGTTTTTAAAATTTAATTATAATTATTCATTATTAACTCCCCAGAGAAAAAATACTCAAACCTCTGCGCTCTTTGTGAAAAACCAGAACAATGCAATTATCCAGATATATATTCCGGTTATGATGGCGCAATACGTTGTCTCGATAAAGGTAAAGGTGATGTGGCCTTCACCAAGGTGCAGTACATTAAAAAATATTTTGGAGTAAGTATATTAATTTACTTCCTGAACTTAATAATAATTAAATAACTATATAAATGCTGTTTATATGATTGTCTCCTTCTATTTTATTTTTTTTTAATAAAACCTTTATATTAAAGTTATCACCAAATACTAAAGCTGAAGGAGACTCAGATAATTTTGAATACTTATGCGAAGATGGTACCAGACGTCCTGTAACTGGTCCAGCTTGTTCATGGGCTCAACGTCCGTGGATGGGTTATATTTCAAATGCAGATACAGTGAATGGCAATGATAATTTACATAACTTACAAAATCGTTTGGAAAAATTCTTTGAAAATGGTTTACATGCTGAAAATAAAGAAGCCGCCTCACATTTACTCATAAATGATAATGCTGTCTACCATAGTAAACCACAACCTGTATTGCCTCAAGAATACCTGGAGCGCGCTGGTTACAAAGATGTCATTGAACGTGATGGTAGTGCTATTAGAAAAATTAGGTAAGGACTACAACGTTTTCCTCTAGAAATTTTTTTGTTTTCTGGGTCTCTGGCAATAAAGAGTTCAAGTTCAAAAATTTCGGTTTTAAAGGGTTAATAACAAATATTTGTTTTGAATAGATAGGCATGTTTGACTTAGATAGCTTTTCCCAAATTCTTTTTCTTTCATGTCAGAGAGGGTTTTTAAATTATCGTGTAGAAGAAAAATCATTTTAGGAAAATTTTGTAAATCACCTTTTTGATAGGAAAGGGGAAAAATTTTAGTCAGAGTTTCTAAGGCATGTATATTTGTCTAATTATTTGTAGCAAGTTTATGGGTTATTTTGAACCCCGAGATTTTGTTATGATTAACTGTATTTATATATATTTCACCAGCAAATTTTTAAGGTAATTAATTTCTGGTATTAATTTATTGATCGAATTCAGTTATCGTGTTATGTGTGAATACAAAATTTATCGTTCTGTCTCTTTTCATCTCATATATATTATATTCTAAGCAAATTCCTTTAATGTATTATCTCATTTCTTCAGATTGTGTGCTAAGAACGATGTTGAAATGTCAAAATGTGAAGCCATGAGCCGTGCTGCTTATTCTCGTGATGTACGTCCAGAAATTGAGTGTGTGCAAGAGAGCGATTGCATGATGGCAGTTAAAGATAACAAAGCTGACGTAGTAACAGTACCCGGCCCACACTATAAAGATGCAAGATATCTAAAATTGGAACCTATTGTATATGAAAGCTATGGTGATAATAATGTATATGTTGCAGTAGTAGATCCAAGTATTTCAAAAGCAGACTTAGAAAAGTTGGCACCGTAAGTCATTATTTGATTATATTGTCAAAAACATATATATATCATATATATCACATTATATATAATATTTAGAAATTTTGATGAATCGAATATTCGTGCGAAATTAGCAGCTGCTTTCATAAACAAAAGACGTCGTTTGAGTGTTTCAGCGAAATCTGATGAAAATGGCTTAATGATTGTAAACTCAAAGGATTTGGAGGCCCATAAAAACAAACAATTACTCTGTCCAAATATGGAAAAAAAACCAGTAACTGAAGCTGCAAACTGCAATTTGGAAGTGAATTTACCTGTGGCCATTTTCATTCGTAGCGATATGACAAGCATTGAACAACAAACCATCAAACATCTGTTCCTTTCCTTATCAACCAAATTTGGTACTAACTCCAAGACTGCGGACGTATTCACTATGTTCGGGCAGTTTAAGGAAGGGCAAAACAACGTCCTCTTCAGTGTAAGTTGACTTATTGGAATTCCTCAATAATAAATTGTTATTATGGGATGGATGTATATTAATTATTTATTTTTTATAGGATGAAGCAGTAGAACTCGTTTCTGAGCCAAAGAATTCGAACGTGAATGAAAATATATATACTGCTCTAAAGGCGGAACTCCCATAAATTATTCTAGATATATTAGTATATGCAATGTATGTGTTATGATATTAATGAACATTAAAAAAATATTAAAAAATTTTGTGTTGCACTGAAAAAATTGATATAATAATTGTTTTAATAAAAAGTTTTATAGCCTCCTATTGAACAAAAGTGACCAGCCTCTCTGTACTTTAAATAATATATACCACATATAAATATATACCACAATATATTCAATATATATTTTTAATGTGTCAAACTGTCGTAGCACATGGTACGTTTACAATCAGAAAAGACAGAATAACGGTTTGGTCTTATTCGCTTCTCATATTGTGGAGATTATCTAATGGGCAAGCATTACGACCAAATATAGGTACTCTTCAATGCCTACTGTTTGTCAAAAAATGAATAAGGAAATGTCATTCATCTAGTCCGTTTATGCCCGATACTTCTTTCTACTAACTTGACAATTGCTTATTCAAAACGTAGCATTGAAGGGTTTGCCCGTTTTATCCAAACCACAAATTATTGGGGTGTCTTTACCTAAAGTGCCTTAAATCACCGTATTACGAAATAATTTAATTACTTTTATAGTTAATTACTTAATTACTTTTATAATTACTTTTATAGTTTTGGGTCTGAAGATGTAGAGAAAAATATTTTTCATCTGCTTCGACACTTGCCAAAGATCTCCTATCCGTTCTTGCTTCTTTCCTTTCTCAAGTGTCGATTCGATGTTCTACATTAAAGCATAAAAGGTACGGTCCCTGTTATTATAACTATTCAGTATAGGGGTATATTTTATCTAACGTACCTTAAAGCAAAGCTGTGATATGATAAAACGCTTTCTAAGATATTACTATGAATCCTGCGACTCTAACTACCGCTGATATATAGCGTTATAGTCAAATAAGTTTGTAACGTTACTGGTATTGTATTTAATGAAGCCACTTCTTGCACACAAAAAAAAAACTTTTAAAGAACTAACCACTTAATATTAGACTTAAGATTGTTATTGAAAAAGATGTGTGTTATTCTGTTATAAAATATTTTTCTTCTTAATAGTGATTTTTTAGTTTCTTTTATAAAATGAAAAAGATGAGTATTTAGACCACTGTTCCATAAACATTTTTATGAACGGCCTAATTAAGGGAGGTTGCTTCATGCCCTCATACATATGGTGCATAGTGAACTTTCAGAAAAAAAGGCGGTTCAGTCAAATATTTATCTCTTTTCGAAAAAATAGTTGAACTTTATGCTTTACCATTCCCATCAACAATATATTTCTATTGCTAAGTACAACGGTATGTGAATGGTGAGATTTCTGGTCACCGTTTATCCATATTTAACAAAACCAATTTACGTGTAACTTCGAATAACGCCATTTGTCAAATTAACCCACCTTGAGAAACAAAGGTTAATACATTTTCGAATTTTGTAGCATGTTTCTGCTTAAGATCTTAAAACAATTGCTTAAACAATTGCTTGGGTTAAACTTTTTCAAGGTTAGAACAATTTCAAGTAACTTGAAATCATACATTTAAATTGGACACTTTATTCGTTCGAAAATGTTTGAGCTACCTAATGATATTTGAGCTATTCGAACATCTTATCTGCTTAATGTTTCTTGTTTTTAAATTGTTCGAATGAATTCGAATGAGTCATTCGAATATATTCGAGAGGTTCATTCGAACATATTTGAGCGGCTCATTTGAACATATTCGAACGGTTTATTCGAACATCAAAACGGTTGTGAACATTGAGTATATATCATTATAAAGAATTAGATTTATTAAGATTTACTACAATTTATTTGAATCTATATAAAAATTTATACTCAATATTGCAAACTGAAAGGCTCAGTTAGTCGGTAAGAACTTAAGTCGAAGCGAAATGCACAACCAACCACACCTGTAACATATATTTGATAGGAACGAAACAAACAAAAGCGGCGAACTTTGCTTATTTCGTTACTATCAAGTACACAGGTGTGTTTGGTTGTGCATTTCACTTTGACTCTTAAGGCTCAGCTAGACGGTAATTAACGTAAGAAATTAATTCAAAGTGAAATGCACAACCAATCAAACCTGCGTATTTGATAGGAACGAAATAAACAAAGTTCACAGTTTTTGTTTATTTCGTTCTAAGCAAATACGCAGGCTTGTTTGGTTGTGCATTTCGTTTTGAACTAATTTCTTGCGTTACCTGCCGTCTAACTTAGCCTTTACGTTAACTTAAGTTCGCTTACTTTCTTACGGTACGCACCGACTAACTGAGCCTTAAGTCATATTAAAGTTTTAATCACACAAAAGCCTGTGAGATGGTGCTACTTAAAGATTAGTGTAAAATACAAATTTTTAAAACCGCATAGGTTTGTATCTCCTAGTAAAAAAATAAAAAATGTTTAATGAGATCGAATATCGGTCTGCCTAAAAAATAATGACTCCCAACAATATGTCTTTATGTTATTACTTTGCATTATAACTGCTGTTTCGATTTATGGACTTATGGTTTTATTTAAATTTGTTACATTTATTTGACACGTCATATAAGATAACTAAAATTATAGCTATGGCAGATGAGACAGTCTATATGTCTGTAAACGTAAAGTGCGTAATTCTTTGATCACATTTCATTGTGAATAAAACAAAGGAGGATGTGTTGTTATTTGGGCTTTACGGACGCTTCGTTAAGTTGTCATTGAACTTCGGTTTTTTTAAACGAATCTATAAAAGGTTCTCTTTCGTAGACAGTCGTCGTTCGTATTCAAAAGTGCGTAGCGAAAAGCAAAAAAAATGGATAAAAGTGAGAGTTGCGTAAGTTATTAAATTTAAAACTTAGCACAGACAATCCACCTCGTAATGGACATTTTTTAGATCCAAAAGTATTCACTACAAAAATATTGTAAATGTTTAGTGTTTTTTTTTAAGCGCCAATATTTCAGAGAGATCGGGTAAAACCCAATTTCATATCAGTTTTCTCACCAACCGAGTTCTGATATAAATTTTTTTTATTTTAATTATATAAGTGGTAATAGATATATATAGTCATACATATATATAGATAAGTGTATATAATAAATTTGTGGGCTTTGTCGTATATTTTTTTGTAAATATACGTGTGTGTGTGTGTATCCGTGGCGTGTGTTTATATATATTTATTGTAAATATATACATATTATATTGGACTCATACTTTCAGAAAGATGATGGTGTCACAAATAAAAAAGATCAGAGCCAGAGAAAACCTGGTACCCATATTTGGTGCAAAATAGCTCAGGAACAAGCTTTGGAAAACAAACAGAATGAAATGAAGGAAAGAATGTTGCTTTTAAAAAAGAATAAGGGTCGTAGGAACGCAACTGATTTAGTTCCTAAGAAGGCACAAAAACGGACTGGTAAGAAAGATATTTTTCGCTATACGCTTACAACTACATTATATTAACTATTGTATTTTGATATTGTGTTTTGTTTTATTAACAGCACAAGATCGCAATAATGCTATAATGAAGAAGAGAGGTAAAAAAGAAGAACAAATGGAAGATACGAAGAATGAGGTATACTCTAATATTATAGAATAATATGATATAATATGATAGTATTAATAACATCTTTTAAATAGGAAAAAGAGTGTGGAAAGCCAGTGGTGGAAAAATAATTACATTTACTATAATCTAAAATCAAGAATTCATTACCCTACGTTCTACATCCACATCCTGAGTGTAAGGTTTCAGAACCATAGAAATTAATAACAATTAATTATTTATCATCTTAAAATTTTGTTTTTAAACATAATTTATTAAACACTTGAAAGCGGAATATATAATTTCAAATAAATTATTATATAAATCTTTATATATATAAATATTGTTTATATATAATGAAATTAACATTTATTTATATATAAATAAATATCTATATATTGCTTTCTGACAATATTATTACATTTTATAAAAATAAATGTTGTTGCTATTTAACCTCTTTTCACAATAAAAACATTTAACCTTTTTCGATATAAATTCGTGCAATAAATAATTTTTAAATATTTCGTAAATTTCTTATAAATAATTAAATAAAATACAATTTCGAATTTTTTTCTTTTATATTAATATTAAAAATAAAATATAATTTTTTTTTAACTCTTTGAATATATCATATAACTCGAACAATATAAGAATATTCATTATTTTATTTTATTTATTTAAATTTCATATATTATAATATATATATAAAATCAACAATATATATTTTAATAACAATTTTATACAAATTTATATGGAAATATTTTTGTAATTAGTTTTTTTTCTTATTTCAATTTAGTTTTTATTATATATGTTATATATCAAACTTTTTATTGAAACTCTACGATAGTCTTTCTATCACACAAAAATCATTATATTTTTTGAAATGAACTTTTAAATTCTATAATACTTATAATTTACGAAATACTGAATTTTATATTAGTATTTTTTTTACATAAAGTATCTCAATGTATTGTACTGATTAAATATATAAAGCTTATACATTTCTGAACAATAGAAATTATTATATTTCCAATAATATACTGACCATATGTTCTTAACATATGTAAGTTGCTGTTTTATTATTGGAAAAAAGTAAAGATTCTATATTAGAAATATAAAAATAAAATAAATGTATATATGGGTTTAAAGCATAGACCCTTTAAGGTCTATGTTTTACTTCCACTTTTTCAAAACAATGTACTTTTTAGATTTACGTTCTCAACATATGTTAGTTGCTATTACATTATTGGAAAAAAGTAAAGATTCTATATTTAAAACATTTTAGATTTCACTTTTACTTTTTGGATTTATTTCTAGAATTTAAAGTGTTGTTTATTAAATGCTTTAACATATTTATTTCATTAAAAATGAATTTATAATAAAAATTTTTGAAATATATATAAAATAAATCTAAATAAAAAACGTGATAACAAATGTCAAGCATGCACGTAGCCAGGGAGGCTACTAAAGTCCACATGAATTGAATTGAATATACATACATATATATATGCATATTCTTTATTAATGGACTAATATCATTGTTTAAAAAGACAACAATTTTTTAATTACTATAACTATTTAAAAACATTCTTCCCACAGTCAGTTTCTGGCTACGGGCCTGGTGGTAATCTATATGAGCACAAATCAATTGAAATTCGCTGAGTTATTTAAGTAACGCAGATAATCCTACTATTTATTACGTTACGTTATGTTATGGTATTCTATTAATTTCTGTCTCATAGGTTACCTATTATATATAATAGTTCTAATAGTTATAGGTTACCTATTAGACATAATAGGTCTAATAGATATAGGTAACCTATTCGATAGTATGTGATTTTAAGCAGCAGTAAAATGATAACAAATACAGTAAATCATAGTTACTAAAAATAATCAGATAGTTCTAACAACTGTTGTGTTATGCATTCCTTTATTTTTTTCTTTCAGAAGCTACCTTTAAACGTGAAACTTCAAGTTGGGTACCACTTGTAATAACAACCACAAATAATTTAGAGGTTATAAAGTAAACCAGATAATTCACAGAATTGTTATTGCTATTGTTTTCTTGTCCCACAAGATCTTTATAGATATCTTTATAATATATCTTTATATAAGTATCTTTATAAATATGGAAAACATAATTATTCGTCTTGCAATGCGTTATCTCTAGAATTTACTGTACGTACGTATTTGTACAAAGTTTTAATAATAGTACGTTCGTGAGATATATCTTTCAATTATATGCTTCCTTAAGTTAAAAAGTATATATCCCAAAATCTATCTAACAAACTATTTAAAAAAATTCTTTTATTCGATATTTTTTTATTGGAACAAAATATTTTAGAAAACAAAGATAAGTTTTCACATTACTATATATCAAAATTTCTAAATCTATTTTAGACTAGATACAGTAGACTAGATATGGAGATAGAATTGAAATAGTGGTACCAAGATTCATGAACTGTCACTTCAGTGACATTACATATCAATTGGGTTTATACATCTGTATCTGAAGTCGGATAATTTTACAGATAAATAATGACATACGTTATAGAATTGCAGTTGTGATACACGTCAATAATAGACATTCTGATACAAGATAAGTAACTGTTAGTGTTGGTGTTATAGCCAAGGTATCGAAATAATTTTAGTGAAATTTTAAATTATTTACGAACTAATTGCGATGGAATTAGCGATAATTCATTAAATCGATACGTGTTAAGGACCTGTAGGGGTACCTGTACCCTGATTGTCAGAAATCGGTCAATCGACAGTACTTTGCTACTGTATTCAGTTGATCTTAAAACCGATCTGGATTGTGCAACGATTTAAATCGAAAATATAAGAAAGGGTAACAAAAAATTAAATTTTTAGTGATCTTAGGGTTTCTATAGTGTGGCAAGTTATAAAAAGTGGGCTAAATCGCAATATCAAAGACCTCAAAAGCCTTCTAATCCACTAATATTGGAATTTGCCTTATAGCCAAACATTTCCATTGGGCTTCACCAGTTAGCGGATAACTAATCTCTTCTGTTTATAACGGCGAAATAATAAATAAATGCATTGTCTCTAGTCCAGTAGTTTGGTACAGACAAAAATATTAATGGGATCTATCTTATCTTCATCGTGGCAACTTCTGCATAATTTATTTATCGAAATAGGTCTCTGTTAACACAATTCAATGCCATTTGAATGGTAAATAATTCACTTAGTGAACATTTTGTTCTAATATAGAAGATAATAACAGAATATATTATATCAGAATTTTTGATGATTATGTTATTGTATTATTAATGCATTATAATACAATGTAATAAGTTATTTTGTAAGTCAAATTATTGATTACTTATTATATATTATCTCCATTCTTTTAGCAATTTAATTTTCGAAGAACAAACTATTTACTAATGACTGGTTATTTGAAAGAGTTTTATAGATTTTAATATATTGATATATCAAAGTTTTCTATTTAAATAAAGATTTTAAGATTAAGATCTTAAGATGACTTCTTTAGATTACACTATTTTTGTGTCCAAACCTCCAGTTATCTACTTACTGAAGCTTCATCACTGTCATGGCTCCATATACATTTTCATGATTATGGACCCATCCCTACAATGTGTTGCCTTATGACAATACCCGGACACGATGATGAAGGCTAGTTACCGGAGAAAAGATAAGCCAGAAAAATAGATGTATACTTAGATGTATATTTATAATATATTCATATTAATATGAATAACATTATTCCGTAAGTGCAGTTAGTGAAAAGAATTTGGTAATATATATATATATATAAGTTAAACAGATATATGTTTTGTTAATAAAGTTTGTTAAAGACTTAAAGTTTTTTGAATAAAGAATGTTATTAAAGTTTTAGTAAACATAGCGGTACAGTTACTGTCTATAATTCTTCAACATACAAAAAATAACCATATATTTATATTATTGTTTATTATTAATAATACTCATTGCATGTAGCTTTTATATATTATATAAATGTTTCTAGTAGTTGTAGCTCGTTAGTAGTTCAACGAGCTATCAAGTCTTGCAGAAAAAAAATAATTTAAAAAAATTAGTTTACGTATAGTTATAATTATTAACGAAAATTGCAATAAATTGTAATTATACATCTAAACACAAAATTATTACCATTCATCAAAAATCTCTATAATTTTAATTAATTTAATAAATTAATTAAAAATATAAATTCATTTAATTAAAATTAAATTTTCTTTTACTTTATATAAGCATTGCTGAACGAATAAAAAAAATTCTAAATTATAACAATTTTAATTTTTTCGTTGTTTTAATAGATTATTTTATTGATTAATAACAAAAATTAAACAAATTATAAAAAATTAAAATTTAAAATAAAAGAATATTTATATAAATTCATTAATAAAATCTTTTCAATTACAAAATTTGAATCTCTTGAAAATTTAATTAGTTTGCATATTGCTCAGCTGACATGCAAACTTCAACAATGGAATCTCTCAAAGATTCTTCAACAAAGGCTCAACAAAAGCGATTCGGTCAATTACTGAATCCATTTAAACCGTTTAACTGTCATCAGTGTCACGATCACGCTGATCTTCAGTTTTGTTATTCGGATCAGATTCCTCCTCTGAATAGTCCTCATCATGTGTATGTGTTACTGTGCGTGGTGTTGATGGACGCGTATGCGGCACTGTTGTTTCTGATTCAGCAAGTGCTACATCACTTGTTACTGGCGTAAAAGCACCAACTGCCCTAGCACTAGCACTAGCCAGTTCTGCATCAATAGCGCTCGTATTTTGTATGCTGTTTGTGTTTTCAATTTTTGAACGTGACCTTTGTATCATTGGTGCTTCCATTTGGAAACGTTGTTCGTGTGCCACTGTGGATTCATGTGGTAAAAGCATTGCTGGTGCGCGGAACATATAGGAAAATGGATAATAAATCAGATTGAGAAAAGTAGCTGCATATAAATCTGCATATCTGACTACTTGGCTGGAGAAGAATGTCTGCCGTGAACCAGAACGGAATAATGAACCCATCATACCATAAGCCAAGTCCATTTTATGTGTCACATCACGTATGGAAGTACGTAATTTGGAAATATCTGGTTTTTCTTTGGTGCTTGAATCAAGATTTCTAAAAAATATTTATAAAATTGCAATAAATGACAATATATTTACTTTTAACATAAAAAAAAAAAATAAAAACTTACTTGTACATATCACCTAACATAACGTCTAACTGTTGTAGCTCTGCGAAGAATTGACATTTGTCTGTCCAAACGTGTAATTCCTGTACTAATTCTGGTACAATTAAAAATGTACGCCAACCACGTATCTTTTTCGATTTTAATATATCACCAAATATATGATCACCAATATAGAGTACATCTTTGCCTTTGGCATTAATGAACGATGTAAATACTTCACACGATCCACCTGAATAGACCTCACCCTAAAAAAAAAGTAGAATTTATTATACTCTATCAATATTTACAATATTTTAATGCACACCTGTTGTAATGGACCAATGTGTGTACCAATTTTTAATGCACCTGTGGTAGTATCGACCTGTCGTAATATGGTGCCTTCTCCGAAGAATAGTGGTTTACGTGCATCTACAACAATTACGTCGAAATATGTCTTCCAGTTCCGATGAGGTTCTTCGGATTTTGCGCCGTGTGGAAAATCAAATAAATATGTCATTATTTTATCAGTAAAATTATAGTCGCTGTTGGTGAGTAAAAATACTTTGGCGCCTGATTCACGTATACGCGAAAGTACCATGGGTAGGCGTACATCTTTTTTGACATAGTAATCCAAATTCTGTAAAATTAAGTAAATAGTTTAATTATATATAGATTTAAATATATATAATATGTTTAATAGTACTTCGGTAGTTTTCTTTTTTAAATCTCCTTGTAAATGCACCCAGTCTACAGCACGACGAACATCTTGGAAAATTGACTTAAAAGACATGAAAAGTTCTCCAGCATTAACACCAGTTTTCTCTCTGAAAATATGTGTATATATTATTATTAGTAATCAAACTGTGAATTAAATAAAATTGAGAATATGTTAAAAATTTTTGAAAGATAGCACATACTATTCCTTTTGTATTGCAATCGTAATAAATAGTTCTAGGGGTGATGTTATCAAGGTATACAGTGTGTTTTTTAAATTTTAGATATTATGCCAGATATAACAACTATTATTGCTATGGTAGCTTGCAGGAATCAAGAAACCAGATAACATGAAAGAAATAATATGACGAAGAGATGGATTAGTATGTGGACGCGTAATGGCTGCATGAGGTTGGTGGATATTAAAGAGCGGGGTGGATTGGGGATAGGTAAGAAATTAAAGTGAAACCTGGCTAAACCGGAGTAACCTTACTACTTCAATTGTGCAGTGGGACAAGAGAACAGATGAGCGATGTCATATGGGGTAGAACAGACATTAGGAATATGCGTGTTTATGCGTGACAAGTAACTGTTAAGTACATGCTTGTATCCTGATCTTTATTGAGCTAGAACAATTCTTGCTGCACGGGAGAATCGGCTTTCTGCCTGAGAAATATTAAACGGGGACTTGTTGAGAACCTTGTTGCAGAACAAGCTTGGTCTCGAAGAGGACACTGCATCTGTGTGGAGGGCTATAAGTCCACGTTGATATTCAACCTTACTGATGTTAGCTTTATTGTAAAAGGTGTTGATATATCTATGATATGAAGAATCGACGGATCGAGGGAGGTCTTTACTGAGCTTCTAAATGTTCCCGAAGAGTTCAGTTTGTGAACACATAAGGACTAAAAAATGTTTCTTTGGTTGGTAATGTTTACTATTAATCTGCTGTGAAATTTTTGCATGATGGTTGGTCAAATAATTATATATATAATTATTATATCAACTTTTCGGAAATAATAAGCTTTTTGGGAGTTGCTACTTTTTATAAAACACTAGTTAAAAAATTTCCTATATAATAATTTCAAAAATAAGTACACACAAAGGACATATAATGTCAAGTGACTCAATATACATCATTGTAAAATAAAGTATTTTATATTTACTAATACTAGTTTGCAGTTACATCTGAATAAAATTTTGCAATTGCAATATGACCTTTCACCCATTTGGGTCTCTCCAAATCTCGGTAACTATCATAGTTTATTATTATAGACCTGAGTAAAATTTTGCAATTGCAATATGACCTTTCACCTATTTGGATCTCTCCAAATCTCGGTAACTCTCACAGTCTATTATTATAGACAATTGTCTGTTATAAAACCATTAAAAATTAATAAAATACAGTTCGAAAATATTCTTCACGCACCCTCATCATAGACTAATCGTAATATTTTCTATTATTGGTATTAGAAGGTTAGATAACTGCCGATATTTAATATGATAAGCTCAATAAATTGTTACTTTAAAAAAGTATGGTTAGAAAAAAAAAAGAAAAATAAATAGACAAATCTAGAAAAACTATTGTTAGAAAAAATATATTCGAAAAACAAAGAGATGATATTCAAGTACAATATATTGCATATAATTAATCATTGGCTGCTGATTACTGAATAGTACATTTTTATAGAATATGTAAATAACTATAATTTAAGTAATGTCTGACATTTGCTTTATTACTGCAATGTTATAGCTATAAAGTCAAGTCACATTAGCCATTTGGTACTTTTAATTTCTATTCATTTCTATTCTATTTCTAATCATTTTGTAGTAAACGGACGTTGTACAACTCTAAAAGACGATAATGACACACAGTTGTCAGAAAGGCGTCGAGATACATATTGTATATTATTTTTGTATTGTATTGGATGATGAAGATAGAAAGAATCAAATTAATTACTTGCACCAAATAGGAAAGGATCGAACATACTCCAACTAAGTCACCCGATGAAATTTGTTAGCGTGTTCTGGACTACTATCTACAGGGCAACAGGGCAACCGAAAAAGAGGAATAGGTAAAATAACGAATAAGGATGCTCTTGGAACGGGACGATATAAATGAACATATATTGATATATTATATATGTCTACGAAATCTCAAAATTGAACCGTAAAAGTAGATTTGGGAATTTTATAGGAATGGTGATAATCTTATCATGAGTTTTTAAATTTCACACATATTTTAATTATTAATTACTGAATAGTACATTTTTATAGAATGTGTAAATAACTATAATTTAAGTAATGTCTTTTGAGACCAATCGCATATATTTTACAGCATATGAATATACATAGTTGTGTTAATTGATACAGTGTTGATACTATACAGTATCCATATATATATTCTGAATACTGTATAGATGAGCAAGTAGAAGCCCCCCAAAAAATATTTTAGTTAATTAAGTTTTTTATAATTAAAAATGTATTAAAAGCTTAATATTAATGAAGTGTAAACCCTTCATAGCAGAGAAATGAATTTGGAATAAAATTTTGAAATTCATTACAAAGTTAATTAAATCGTCATTTTTTTCGCATCAATAACTTAAGGACATTTATTTTTGTGTCCTTATGTGAATGACATAAACTTCATATGAGCATCTTTGATAAATTTTTATTAAATGTAATGTGCTTGTAAGTACATAATTATATCCTAACATGTATGTTTGTATATTTCGTATGTTACTCGTATCAGAAATTAAATTAAATTTTAGCTTCAAGAGTTTTGTACAAAAATTAATGGGCTTCACAGTGAAACTAGAAACTTTGGCTTCGGAAGGAAAGAGAGGCAATTTTAGAAATGAAAACACTTTGAAGTGCTCAAAAGCAGTTCATTGTTCTTAGACCAAAATCACTGTTTTTAATCAGCACTTTTAGTGAGTGAAGTGAAGTGTTTTCAAGCTGCCGATGGCAATTTGCCCATTTTGCTGCTCCTTCCTTTTAGATGATAACGACGATGATAAAAGCAGTTGACACCTTGCGCCAGAGTGGAATTGCTGAAAGGGATTATCTGGTGTAGGGAGTTACAAGTTACAAGTGTTACCTTTCAAATGTTGAAATTGAATTAAAAAAGTCAAAGGAATCAAAGGAATTTAAAAAAATTGCAAGGATTTTATTTTTTAGTAATGAACAGAATAGCTTATTGTGCACTTTCAGACAGACAGAGTAGACAGAGAGTTCTTATGCCAAATATTTATTGGGAGGAATATAATGCAGCATATTTTGAATTTTCAGCAAAAATATGGGACAGATAAAGATTTGTCAAAGAGAACTTAATAAAGTGGTAGATTTTAAAGTTTAGAAATAATTTAAAATTCATATAACACAAAAAGGAAAATAAGCGAAACTGTTTTGATTTAGTAGACATTCTAATTTGCATTTCTGAATTTAAGGTTATGTCAAAGACAAAAATGAAGTGACAAATTTTAAAATTTTAGAAGTTTTCATATAGAAAAGAATTATAAGTAGAACTCGAATTCAAAAAATACTAAAGCTAACGTTAATATATATTTTACGCTAATGTATTTACCAAAACAAAACAAATGCCAAGTTTATACAACGCCCGAACAGTCTTTAAACTCTCAGAGTAATAATTTCCTGTTATATAGCTACGAATAGAATGGGATTCCAAATAGTAGTGGAGGTTATATGGAGATAAACGATAATATTGTAGAATAAAAGAACGATTTGTATATGAAAATACAATAGTCTAACAATGGAGACAGTGTTATAGGTAACTAATGTTCGAGCCCGTAGAGACTTATATAAAAGAGTAGTAGTATATATGTAGAACTGTAGACATTAAAATAGAGTGGAAAATTCCAGAAGGAAGCGAATCAGTGACTCTATATCCTAGGCTCACGTCCATTTAAGGTTTACAGTTCAAAAGAAAAGTAAATCACTTACGTTAACTTATCAATGGTGAAACTACTCGTTACAATAACTAGAATATATAATATATATATAAGACGTTTTCGATTGGTAAATCAAGATTCAATTTAGATTTAATCTTGATGTCTCAAATTTTACTTACGTCGATTGACGTAAATCTGAAGTTCGAAAGAATTACTGCAGTAGAGATAATTAGTAGAGGTAATCACGCCAATAGAAAATCAAAATAATTTATTTAGGTCTTAATATGGAAGTATAACTGATAGTTAAGAACTGCATAATAATAGATCGAAATATAAAATACTAAACATCTGATAGAAGTAGTAAGTAGTAATAGATTAGTAACATCACACTAAGCATGTAACACCTAGAATAGCATATGTCATATCTATTATATAGCCATTTGACACCGTTTTATAAAACATATAAAAGAGATGAAGATAGTTGAACAATAAAGTACAAGGCTCAAGATGTACAATAACACTATAATAGAAAAATAATGTATGCATATCTTCATGAAACCATACTAAAGTCCTGTTATACAATTTACACTTAAGCTAAGTAAAACTTAAGGGTTTGAATTTTAATACTATGGTATCACACAAAACTCATGTCAATTTGACTTTAATCGGCAATAAAGTGTGCACTATTAAGGTGGTTGGTTGATTCGTTGCAGTGGCAGGCCATTAGATAACTTCCATGTACCTCAATTAGCGATTTTTCGCCGTTTTGCTACCACATTCCTTGCAAGAACCCTAGTGTATAAGAGTAGAGACTAAATCCATCCCGCCGAAGGTAATTAGGTAATTTAATAGGTCTTTCTTCTTCACCGCTGAGCACCGGACGCTAAAACCGGGCATTCACAGAGAAAATGTATTATTGTTTCTTTCTCCTGCGGGTTTTCACTATAAAGGTATATAAAGGTAGATTTATAAAAGGCACTATAAAGGTAGATTTAAAAATTTTGTTGTAATACTGACCTAACTATTATATCTACCCATACTCAAGAAACTAGCCTATTGAAGTGGCATACTTCTTGCGCTATCTCTGCAATGTTAGAACTATAAAGTCACATCAAGTCAAGTCACATTAGCCATTTGGTACTTTTAGTTTCCATTGACGACAATGAATATACTGATATTTAAATTTAATGATTTAACATGTTTAAAAGCTAGGTAAGCTAGTTAAACACTGATATAATTCTTCGAAAACCTAGAGCATTTGTTGGCATATGTATGTTTTCAACGTGTCCTTAAAATTTGATAGCCAAACACAAGCTGTAATTTTGAACTTTTTCAGTATTGGAACGGTGTTGTACTCAATTACTTGCACCCATTAGGAATGAATCGAGAACATAATCCTGATGAAATTTGTTGGCGTGGTCTTGACTACAATCCGCAGGGCAACTGAAGAGAAAGAATAGGTAATGCAACGAATAAGAATGCATTTGCAACGGGACGAAGCGAGCAGCATAACATATCATATGATTTAGATTTTTTGCAGAGACCATATGTGCCTTAAATAAGAATGCATTTGGAACGGGACGTAGCGAGCAGCATAACACATCATATGATTTAGATTTTTCGCAGGGACCATATGCGCCTTAAAGCAGTTAAAAGAAATGATAAAGATAATAATGACTTAATGTTCTGCTTGATACCATCTCAAATCAAACATATATTCATTTATTATATATATGACCACGAAATCTCAAAATTGGACTGTAAAAAATGTATTGGTTACTTAATATGAATGGGGTGATCTTATCATAATTTTTTAAGTTTTACACATATTTTAATAAAAAAAAGTTGTTTAAACATAAAATTATTTTTGATAAATTCACCAAGCATTTTGCTGATATAAAAGTCTTAAATATGACATCCTTTCATTACAAGCGTAAATGAAAAGTTTTAATTAATTTGCACCACATTTAGTGTGTTCAGAAATTTAATTTCCAACCATGTTGGTTGGATTCAGATGAAAATGCCATAACAAATTTAATTTGAAATTAAAATATGCAAAAACAAAACTTTTACACACGATGAAGCAATTAAAATTGTTATTGTTTTAATTGGGAATCAAGAATTGCAAGAATTCATAATTTAAATTCTGGATATTTTCCATTAAGTTTGTGGGTTCGAACGCTTACTATGAAAATAGCAGATGCTTTGGAATTAATTATTCTATTGTCAAATTGCTATTTGTCAAATGGTCCCCAATATGATTCAAACAGAAAAAAAATGACCCTAAGACAACAAATAATATGTAAATAACGACAGTTTTGGTGACACCATTTTCATTGTCATTCCAAATGATCGATGAAAACTGCTCTACATACTGCAGTTATTATTTCAGTAAATATCATTGCTCATCCATAAGTCATAGAACAGAACTAAATTTATTTTTCTTTGAAAATTAGGAAAAGTAAACTAAATAAGAATGGATACTCTTCTAAGTTTAACAAGAAGCAGTGGCAATATGAGCAAGTCCGCCTTTATATGTCATAATTTGATAGTAAAAATACGACTAAATAATGGGTCTGCAGTAAAGACTTCTTTTGAAGCTGTCAGGATGAGAATATGTTTAAAAAAATGGGTCACTTTATATGTTACTATTCGGTTCTTACTAGACAGAAATTAATCCTTAGCAAATTACTACTTAGAGAAATTGGAAGGTCTGTCCGCAGTCGATCTGCAATCTTGTTAGAAACTAGACGGCTCACTCGAGAATCTTGAAACCACAGAAACTAGACGGCTAACACAAGAATCTTGAAACAGCAAGGTAAATTCTCCAACAATATAAAAATGTAGTCTTCACATACGTGTGTCACAACACCTTGTCTAGTAAGACAGCCTTCAAGTTCTGTACCATCAGAGTACCAATAGAAGGTTTGTATAAATTCCCATTTATTTTGTTCACTTCTGGATAATAATACTTAAGTTTCAGGAAAAGAAATTGATTTAACGTACGATATCTAAAAAATGAAAAACATGAGATAGTACAGCTATCTCTTCTCGTTGATGCCATTTGGATGTCCATCTATGTGGCACGAGAAAAATATTATTTCAACAGTAGCTAGCTTTTTAACTAGAGGCATGTTAAATTCCCTATGCAGATGGTCACACGTAATAAACAACAGCAAACGGGTGCAGTATGTGGTGCTAAATTTTGCTATGCCTCTCAAAGGTCTTTACCTTTGCGTAATGGAGTAGCATACACTATATTGGGATGTTCTATTGCATTGTCTAGCAGGGTTTCTTTGTTTTTTTTTTTTAGGTACTAACTGTAAACGGGAAATTGCTTATCTCTAACTCTTTGTCTCTCAAAGACATTTAGGTCTGCGATATGAAGCCTATCGTTTATACTGGAGCAGCATACACTATATTGGAATATATATGTTGAGGCTAGTTGAGTTGAGTCAGTGCACCTGAGCACTTTTACTCTCTATTAACTGCAATGTTTCTACAAAACCCCTCTTTGCGCCTTGACTTGATTATTGTTTATCACTTCATCAGACTAAGCAATAATTGACCTCAGATCTGCATATCTCCCCGAGGAGCCTGTAACCATTCTGAGATTTGATAACGCGGTGTTAGTAAGTCTGTCAGATTTCGCAAATAATTTCAGGGCTCTATCCTTTATGTATTTTTGGATGGGATCAATCTTGAGGTCCCTGAGGATGTCATTTGTCCTAATGTACCAAGGAACTTTGAAAAGTCTTCTCAGAGCCTGCTTTGTCTTGCAGGTTTGGGAAGGTTGCTGGGAAGAAATGCCAACAAATTCTTTTATTAACTGTACGTAACAGTATAATTTGCTAAGACTCTGGGCATACAGTCGAATATGTCACATAAACTATGAAAATTCGCGCTGTTATAAAGATATCTATATATCTGTATAAATGTATCTGATTAGATATATTGTTTTATTTTGTATTAGCCAAAACGATTGTGTGTTAACTTGTTCAGCAATAATACTTTATCGAAATAAAATTGAAAGAATAACTATTTGTTTTCAAACTAATTACGCAAATTTAATTTATTTTTATTATTTAATATAAACAGTCTGTGTTCCAATAATAATACTTTCAACAAAATAATTAATTAATGAAGCCCAATACAAATAATTCAATTAACTGAATGCTGCTTGTACGCACTGTTGCACTATTTTAACAAGAAGAAATCAATTAACTTAAAATTTAATGAAGAAATGAAGAGTTAATAGAGCATTAAGTGCAACACAATTAAATGTAATTGAATTGGATATTAAGAAAAATACTGAATGTCCTTTTAATCAAGCTTACATTAGTGCACGGATACGAAGAAGGTATACGAGTACAAAGGATGATTACAATCCATTATGAAAAATAAAATAAAATTATTCTTTACGATATCAACGAAATTCCTTTGAAGTTACTTAAATTATACAATGATTCATATATATGGTATATATATATATTTATTACTTACCTCTCATAAACTGAACTATTTGTAAAGAAGTCTACTAGGCAAGCTAATAAATAAGTCTCCGGCAAATTGAATAGTGTATTCAATACATAAACGCGTGATTCATCCAATTTCAAGAATTTATTTGGATACAATTCATAAACCTGGTGGCTGCAAGAAAACGTAAAAGTGTATTAATGAAATTCATAGAAAAGTAACAAATTTATCCATACTTACTGCTTCAAAAACTCAAATCCATGCACACAAACCAATATGTTTCCATATGCGTCTACCTTCAGTAAATTGCCATAAAGTGTATCAAACCAGAGACCACGTACAGGAAACGAAGGGTCATATTCAAATTGTAGTATTTCCTTAGGGTAACCCATGCTAACAAGTCGCTCCTTGACAAGGTCGAAACCGAGTTGTTCATATTGTGGCGATTTGTATTCTAATCAAATCAAGAAAAAAAAAAAAGACGAAAAAAAATCAAATTAATAAATTTGCAAGGTTCTAGCTTAAGGTGTGCATAAAGATTAGAAAATTGTAGGAAAAAACTATGCAATTTAGCTGCATTGCTATGCTTCCAGAAAGATATCAATACAGGAAAAAATGGAGGGGAGAAAATTAAATCAGTGAAAGTTAACATTATGAATAAAATAATCTTTCCCAGTCAATGAGAGATAAAATTTTAAAGCAACATTCAACATAGATTCTCATTTAAACATTACTAGAATAGTGGAAAACTGGGGAAAAAATCTAAATAGGGAAAAAACCTAAATAGAGAAAAAATCTATGCAATTAGTACTTTAATAGTGATTTGGTATGTATTTTATATCATCTGACAACTAATTAAAATAGTTACACATTATAGTAAATAACGAATTAATTAATTTAATATGTAGTATCGCATTGAAACTAACTTTTCTGTTCCTTTTGATGTGTCCTTATAATACAATATTAAGAAAAATATTATTTGAGTCTGATTAATTATATTTAATTTTGATTGTTAACGTTTGTTACTAGGTTGGGTTAGTTAGTTGTGTCAGCCTCGTGTACCCAAACTCACTTAAGCACAAATAATGGCTTATTGTAATACTACGGATAAGATTCCGTCCGTACGCCAGATTTGAAGAACCACTTTAAAGGTAGAAGTTCCAAACACCTAGCGAGCGAATATCAAGTGAGTACCTTTGAGAAAGCGAATCATACCCCATTCAAGTGAAAGATAACCAACCTAATAAGTTAATAAATTTAGATTTTCGTTTACCTGGGTAGTTATATCTTAAAGTTTGCCTTAGTCATATTTAATAGGTTGTAGATTATTTTCTATTAGTATCATTTTTTTTAACGTATCTACCAATACAATAAGCGTCTCTTCATTGGATCCCAAAATGATAGTGTCTGTCAATCATACATCACACACATTATATATAAAACTTTCTCCCAACAACAGATAAATCACAACTTTCATAAAAAAAATCCAAGTGATATACTTATTAAATAAATTGGTAAAAGGATATATTCATAGTCTATACTAATATGAGTTCAGCTTTGAATACGTTTGATGTTATTTGGTTCACTTTTACTTCTCACATCATTGGTCGCTTTAATTCAATCACTAAATCAAAGACAAACATTGAACTTTCAGGCTATATCTTATATTTGTTCAGGATTTGTTCTAGATGCTTTGTTTCAGAACCAAATCCGGCTTTTTAGAATAGTAGAAAACTTTTGATTCTAATATGTGTTAAATGAAACAGCAATTTGAATGGGTGTGAAATGTGAAAGATGGTTCTGTACTTTATACAAATCGTGAAATATGATTTTTAAAAAATACGAAGAAATGAAGATTAAAACTAAAAAAAGGAAGATAAGTCAGTGATGAATTATAGAAGAAGATATTGAATTTATGGTTACTTTAAATTTATTTTTCGATATAATCTTGTTAATGTTTATCGCAGAACATAGAAGTTATTTACTTTCCAGTTGATGAAATTATTTTTGTTTGTTTTTTAGTACTTTTATTAAAAAATTGGTATTAGCTTTGGCTATTTTGCAGCACTTTAATTTAAAAAAATCTCTTTCGACAGTTTAATCATAGCCGAAATATACTTGTGTGTCCATATTTCCTTCATTGTCATGACTCGACGCATAAAGTTTTTGGAAAGAATTTTTCGTTTAAAAGAATATATTTTATACAATGAATTTAATAAGTAATCCTTCCATTGAAGAGAACTTCTCATTTAAACGGACATACCTTGTATAATAAATTAAATTCATGATCTCTCCATGGAAGAGAACTTTCCGTTTAAAAGAACATACTCTCTCTAAAAAATTAAACTACTAATCTGTTAAGTGGAGAAAACTGTAATGTGAAGAGAGCTTTCTGGGCAAAATAATATATTTTGTATAACAAATTCTCATCGTTTAAAAGAATATACTTTGTATAATAAATTAAATCTCTCCATTGAAGAGAACTTTTCGTTTCAAAGAACATACTGTCTCTATTAATTATTAAGAGAATAGACGTGAAAATTGCCCAACAGCCGGTACTGCGGCCAGAAGAGACCTATTGTACCAGTTTCACTATTGATTAAACAAAGCCCCTTAAAGCTTTGTGAATAAAGTCTAAAACTAAATCTAGAGAAAAGTTCTTAATCTGTTCTGGTGACAGAAATTCTTTATGAAACAGGTTTCTTCTGTGCGTTATTAAAGCTGGACAGTCACAAAGAATGTGCATGGTCGTTTCCTCATCTTCGAGGCATAATCTGCATTCCGAGTTAGCAGATAATTGTAGTTTATGAAGGTGATATTTCAAACCATAATGACCTGTAATGAAACCTGTTATCAACCTTAAATTACATTTTGAGAATTTAAGAATGTCTTTGTAGGAATACGGTGTTATCAGTGCTTTGCTTTGTCTGAGTCCTGGAAAGTTTACCCAGTACTCCAGCCGCATATAATTTTCCATTTCCTTGATAATCTGTTTTGTACTGGCCCAGTTTATTCCACAAAAGGGTTGAGGGGCTATAAAAGCAGTTTTTGATGCAGTTCTGGCTAGCTCATCAGCTTTTTCATTTCCTAAAACTCCTCTGTGGCCCGGAACCCAGTAAAGGCTTACCTTATTCCGAGCTGCAACTGTCTCTAAAAAACTAAACCAGCAATCTGTTTAATGGAGTGTTCTATACAGTGAAGAGAACTGTTCGTTTAAAACAAGATACTTTGTGTGGACATGAAAACTGGGGACTAATAATATTGTGCGATTAAAGAGATATGCGCTTTTTATGACTACAGCTTTCATTCTTTATGTACAAATATTAATATTTGTATAGTCTTACCTGCCAGTGTGTAATCCATATCGAATCCATAGAATTTAATATTTTCCAAATGCAATGATCTGTTAACGAAAATTCTGTAACGAGAAGGAAAATAAAAAAATAAATTCATTAAAAACAATTGCAATCAAAAACATCTGTAATTATTGAATAAAATAAATTATTTGGACATTTGTTGTGCGTATTAACATAAATTTCAATTATCCTTTCACTGATCCTTTCTGAATCACTGCACGCACACGAAAATAGAAACGCCTAGGTAGGACGTAGCCAAGCAACCTACACGCTTACTAAACATGCCAAACATAATTAATATTACGATTTCATAAGGATTCTGCTCCAAATAAGGATGAGTCTAATTAGTACAAAAACATGACGTCATATGCAGACGCTTAGCTTAAAACGTAAAATAGAATTAATATACGATATTTTGATATTTTTGTTCGCAAAAATTTATATTTATTAAAGCGCAAATAAATTTTTAAAATATTTTTAGATTTTCCACATATTTTCTGAAGCAGATGCGCTATTTTGGATGAAGCACTTTGTTTGTTTACTTGTTGCCAATAACAGATTAAAAGCCAGTTCGCCCAGAGATGGGTTCACTTAGCATGGGTGTGGGAGAGTTCCAGTTTAATCAGTTTAAATTTAAATCAAAACGGCGTCTATTTCGAGATTTTACAAGTAAATTGTGTTCAAATTTTGTAAACAAAATTGATGCTATCGACGCCAGATTGGAAAACATAAACTCTCCTTACTTTGTTGTGGTGAGCTGTGGTGTGCTGTGTTGTGCTGTGATGTCCTGGCAGGTTATAAGCGGCTGTTGTTGGAGCACATGCTTCGAAAATGCCGAGCAAGTTATGCGTTGGAGGTTGGTCGGCAGGAGAGGATTAATATTTGTTTACCATTTGCTATTTATAATATTGCAAATGCTAAAAGGTTATCAGTAAAGTTTATTGCAAAAACATTACATGTTGTGAACTATTTTAGAAAATTTTCACAGAAAAATTGATGAGAAGTTTGCTAAATTGTTAAGCCAAAACTGCAGCGAAGTTATTTCATCAGAAAGTTATGAAGTTTATTGGTTTTTCAGCACAAAATTATGGAATGATTGCAGACAAGTAGAAGTGCTTACTTTAGGGATTTAAATGGCAAATTAAATTGTATGGAGACTTTTAATTGATGTTTTAAAAGTGATTGTTTTTTAATACGACGAGTGCAAAGAACTTATGACATGAGTAACGAAGAAGGAAGAAGCTATTAGATTAATTAAAGTCATATGCATTTATCTATGTAAACATCATTCACTGAAAGAGACAACTTTTGTTGTGAAATATAAAATACCATAACACTTACATACCTAAATACTTTTTATATTATTATTATTATGTTAAGCCATTTCCGAGTTAGTGCATTTGGGCACTTTTACTCTATGATAGCTGTGGAGAATCTGCAGAATCCCGTCCATCTCACTGACTAATATGAGTATTACTGATAATCTTTGTGATTATTCAATGATTGAACTAAGATCTGCGTACCGCCCCGTGCAGTTATTGATTACTCTGAGATAATTTATATTTACTTATTTTTTCATATTGTACCTTAGCCGTAATTTTTTTTTCAGAGTTGTAAAAAAATAGCATTAAGTCTAGTAGAATAATCTCAAATACTCCTAGATATATGGTAAATGAATGTATATACCGCGATCTCAACATCCCAGTAGTGAAGGATGCTATAAAAAGCCAAGCCAGAAATCACAAAAAACCTATGCAATATCATCCAAACCATTTTGTTAGTAGAATTATAGCAGAAGGAAGAAAGTTCACAAGTCCCCACAAATAAACGCTACTGAAACTGTGGGGGTGAATGTCGTACCAGTTCTCTTGTTTTTTTACCCATTAAGTTTAGGACACATTTCTCTCGACAATAAACTTGGATCTTCGTTTGGTCAGTACCTATACTTACACAATATTTTTCTTCAATAGTACCTAATTTACAGAAAGCTATGGGTATGTTAATATCGCTTCTCTTTATTTCTAAGGGATATTTAATACCTAATGTAGAGAATTCGTCGGTAAATATTTATTATTACTATTATTATTATATTATATTATGTTGAGGCTAGTTGAGTCAGTGCACTTTTACTCTCTATTAACTCTCTCTATTAACTGATAACGTGGTATTGGTAAGCCTGTAAGTTTTCGTAAATAATTTCAGGGCTCTATTCTTTATGAATTTTTTGATCGGATCAATCTTGAGGTCCCTGAGGATGTCATTCGTCCTAATATATTATGGTACCTTGAGAAGTCTTCTCAGAGTATTATTATGTGAAAGCTAATAATAACAATATATTATATTATAATATATTATATATAGTTCATATAATTATGTATAATTATAATTATATAGCTCTAAACTCTAACAGCTCTAATGATTCAGGATTCACGAAATTGGCTAACCCAAATGTAAACGACAAAGCTGACAGATATAACGAATAACCCAATAAAATAGATAGATTGATCAACTAGTTACTTATGCGTTATGCCATAAAATTATAACATAGTATGAAAGTATCTATTTAGCTAACATTCTGGAAGCAATAGGTAAATAGCAATTTTGACAAAATTTATGAGATGATTTGATGGCATGTGTTAATTTAAATTTTCTGTTCATATGTACATAATAAAATTTTGCATTAAATTTATTTTAAGCTTTTTATTAGGAATAATCACATTGTTGAAATTCGCTTAGAAAATAAATAAATAAAACGTTTATTTGTGTAATCAAATCAAAAGTGCTGCGGTTCTTTGCAACGTCGATCTAGCAATTTTGTAGCTTTTGATACTGTGATTTTAACTCAATTAGGAGTCAATCATTTATAAAATAAACACAAATATGGGCGGGTAAAAGTTATCTGCTATCTTAGCATATAAAATAAGGAGAGCTTAACATGGCTTAATGTATCACAGAGAAATTTCGTAGAATTTTGATTAAATGAAAATTGAATTGAAGCCTTAAATAAATATTTGCATAAATGGACGGACTACACAAATGGAAAGCATAAATGTTCAATAACAGAAAAATACAATTAAGAGGTTTTTGTAGCTTTATTATTTATGATAATTTGTAACATATTTTATACAAATACAGCATTTAACGGCTTTTCCACGAATTTTATAGCCAAACACATTTAAGTCCCTTTTGATTGGGAAGCAAAACGTACAGAAAAAGTAAATAAATTAAAAAGTACACAGAAAATTGTGTATTGTGTATTGTGTACTTTTGGCATACTTTCAAATTACACAAGGAACTAAAGATACAAATGGTATGGAATGGTTCTTATCTTACTGGGAGAGAAAAACGGCAAAGAAAAAAAAAAATTGCATGTTAAAAGTTGCCGGAAAAAAGGATTTCATAGGCAATTTTAAATTAGTGCTGTAGGAAAGCAAGTATAGTAGTAGTAGTAATAGTAGAAAGAAAGAGACAAGAAAAAGTTTTAAGTAAACATTTTATGCTGTCATGTGCAGCCGAGATTTCGATCTTAATGAGCGGCAACTGAAAATTACGTTTCAGTTGATATTAAGCGACTGTAAAGTTTCCACTGCAAATTGACCCAAAATAAAGGAAGTTGAAATGACAAAAAAAAAACAGGATAAATTGTTCTACAAAAGATTTCTGCAATTTGTTGTTAACAAGCGAAACAGCAAATTCCATAAAGAAAAAAAATTAAATTATCCAACATTTTTACTTTTGTTTTTCTTTACAGCAATTTTAAGTTAATAATAAAAAAATATAAAGTAGAAAATAGAGTCTGACCTCGCGTGTTCTGGACCATATTCACAGGACAATGTCGTAGGTGTTATCATTTTAATAAAATCAAATATAATAAATGGTTATGGTAACTTCGCAAACCCAGGGCGCTACTGGATACATTCTGTGCTATGTTGAAGTCGTACATGTTCCACAATATGTGCGGATGTGCCTTGAGGATGCACATTTTCTACGAATTGTGCGCACAGGATGCGTTTTTTTCAACATAAAAAAAAAGTTTTATTTTAGTAGTGCTGAGATTAAAATATATTTTCGCGTACACTTTAAATAAATATAAAAATAATATTTAAAAATATAAAATATTTAATGGTGCCACGGAGAATATTTTCATACAAACTCTAAATTAATTCCACACTAATTGTTTTTTGCGGAAGTGAATTATTTATATGTTATGTTGTATAACACAAAAAGTACTCTGAACAAAAATAGTGTTAAAGTTGGCGTTATTATAAAGATTAAACTTAATCCCCTATCATGATAATTATATTGTGTGATATAAAAAAATATATTTAAATAAAAATATATTTCAGCGACTCTTCGGCTGGCCAATTATTTACCATTAAGAAAATTTTACTGAGTCCGAAGCAAATGCTAGTAATCCGATGCAAAATCCGGATGACTAGCCCAAAACTTCCCAACCAAGTTTCGTCAATTTGTTCTAAATTATCAATGATGTGTGTTGCGTGGCATGTCATGATAGAGATATGGTTGGGTTAGGTTGAAGTGGCGGCCTTTTGCCCAAAGCCCACTTGAGCTTAAATATTGGCCTGTTGTAGTATCACAGGATTAGTGTTAGTACACACGCAGACTAGAGATCAGCGTGTGAGCAACTGAAAAAGACATAAATCCGCTATTAGGTAAAGATAAACCAACCTGATATCGGTATTTCCGGAACAGTATTAAGCAAATGATTCATTGATCCTGCATTTACTCACAGCATCCACAGAATTTTTTTATTATAATCCGGTAGATAATTTCATGGTATATATTTTTTTAATATGATTTTCAGCATATATCCGCACTAACTGCAACGAGTTACATGGTCCATTCGATCAGTCCAATGTTTGACTATTTTTTCCAATAAATATGGCTGTATAAAACAATGGTGGCAAGAATATTGGTTTCCAATGCTTTAAGAGTTGCTGGTACATCGGTATAACTGTAATGCTAATAACTTAAGAAAGCCCCATAAGAAGTAATCGAGGGGCGTTAAATCATATGAACGTGAGGTTCAGTTAACAGGAGC